GTGTGGTCAGGGGTCTGCAGGAGTGTGTGCTGGAGGGTGCAGGTGGGCTGAGTGTGGTCAGGGGTCTGCATGAGTGTGTTCTGGAGGGTGCAGGTGGGCTGGGTGTGGTCAGGGGTCTGCATGAGTGTATGCTGGAGGGTGCAGGCGGGATGGGTGTGGTCAGGGGTCTGCAGGAGTGTGCTGCAAGATGCAGGCGTGCTGCGTGTAGTCAGGGGTCTGCACGAGTGTGTGCTGGAGGTTGCAGCGGGCTTTGTGTGGTCAGGGGTCTGCATGAGTGTGCTGGAGGGCGCAGGCGGGATGGGTGTGGTCAGATGTCTGCTCACCACAGCCCTTGGTGGGTGGGCAGTGACCAGGGCTGACAGGAACACACCCTGCTCAGGGGCTGCTGGATGCCATCGATCGGGTGCATACATGCTGACCCTAAGCTGAGCTCCAGAGAGGAGCCAGGTGCATCCCAGACTCCTGAGCCTGCGCACACTCTGTGCCTGTGCTCCGTGCATCCCCAGCGCTTTCCATTCTATCGAGATGGGGTCTGGCTTTCTGTTTTTCATTTGAGGCCTGGTCTCAATCGCTGGGCCTGTCCTTGATCCTCACTGCTGGTCTCACCTCTAGGGACCTGGGATCACAGCCCCACTGTCCACACAACTGTCAGCCTTTGAAGGTCAGAGATCACCCTGCCTTGGTCTACTCAGATGCTCAACGAAGAGAAACACAGAGAAATGCTGCTCTGAAAGTTAAAACTGCCACAGGCGTGGGGTGCATTGGGGTGAGCGAGGCACAGATGGGCCAGGCATTTACCCAAGGGTCCAAAGGACAGGGAGTGGAAAAGTGTCCATGGAGGTGTAGCAGCAAATACCCTCCGACCTCAGACAGTGTACTGCAGTGTGTTAGTTGCCAGGCACTAGTTCCTGTTCCACTTGCTGTCTCTCAGAAATGGCTGGTCACTGTGATGCACACTGTATAAACCAGTCCCCAGCAGACACACCACCTTGCACGCCCTTCTTGCTTGTCTATAGACTACCAGAGATCCTGGCCTGATATTCTGGGATCATCCTGATTGGTGCCTGTTGGTGTAAATAAGTCTACCTCTACCTCTTGGGTGCTGTTTTGGTGTTCCTGCTTGCATTGCCTCTGGTGCGTTGCCCAGGAAGACTGACCACGCTGACCTCTTTGGTCCCCAGTTACAGCCCTCACAGATGGAGCAAGGACCTCTCCAGGTCCCGACAGAAAGGTGCAGCCTCAAGATTTCTTGAGTCACCTTGGAGTTCTGGACAAGGATTCCTGGATCCCCGCTCGAGTGGCTCACATTGGACGTCAAAGGGAAGAGGATGCTGCCTGCCC